TTTATAAGGCATCCCAAAAAGGAACTACAATGGAGACTATAGGTAATGAGAGGGTTTGGGGTTTAGGGTTTAGAGTTTCGGGTTGAGGGTTTGGGTTTAGGGTTTAGGGTTGAGGGTTTAGGGTTGAGGGTTTAGGGTTCCGAAAAGAAGCTGGTATCCTATTTTTGGGTCCTTATAATACTGATACTTTGCGGCACTATATTAGGGTTCCCTATTTTCGGAAACCCCCATATTGAGGTTTTTGGGGTGTACTATGCTTACGATGCCGTCATTAGAACAGGATTTGTGGGGTTTAGGGTTTAGGGGCAGGGTTGTGGGGGTTACTATTTAATCATTAGACTCATTAGACCAGGAACAAGACAATCTACGGAACAGTCTTGGAAATTTATTCAGTTCGATATATGTGTGGGAGCATGTGTGGTTTATGTTGCGGAGACTAAGTCCTGAAAACCCTACCTCAAACAGTGACATGCACCTGCAAACGCTCGCTAGCATGTCTCGAAGTGTCGAAGTGCGATACGGGTGGTTGTCAAAATTATGGTCCTTTTTTGGGTCCTTATTATAATACGGCACCTATTACTTAGGGTACCCCGAAAGGGACCCTAATATAGTACCCTAAAAAATAGGATCCTTATTCTAAGGACCCCAAAATAAGGTACCCCCTACTTTCGGAAACCCCCATTTTGACAACTACCCATACAGGCGATGTGCGGCATGGAGATCAAGTGGATTGAGGCGCATTGCTCCGGCGTAAGTGGCGTGCAGGTTAGAGGGTCTAATGTAGGGGCCTTAATAATCAGAATAGGTTTTTGGGGGGTTCCTGATCATAGTTATAGTAAAACATGCCCCAAAAATCTATTCTACTTATTGAGGCTCCTATATGAAGTCTCTCAGGGGGATTGCGGGCCTTTGAGCCCATGGTGTGCAGACGACAGAATGAGCTCGTGGAGTCAGATTCCGTCATAAAGCCGCAGAGCGAGCCCTATAATTCACATCCCCGAAAGACCAACCCTAACACTCCACGGTAAGCCCCAAGGACCTAAGCCCTAGACCACTTGTGTGGAGAACAAGACAGATGGGCAGGACTCCCGTGGCATGGACCTTGAAGAGTTCAAGGCACTCTGCGCAGAGTACAAGGACTGTGATGGGTGGATGCGGTGTTTGCTTGAAGCTACATGGATAGTCAGAGGAAAACTACAAAGGAAGGTTACGTCAGTTGTATATATATATATATATATATATCATCATCATCATCATCATCACCATCATCATCATCATCATCATCATCATATAACTGTAGTTCTAGTGAGGTAATCCTATTGAAGGTGTTTACAACCCTGCTTAGAACAAAGCATGTTGAACCTTCAAGTGAACGCAGCTTGCGCGTGTCTCTGCCACTTGAGAATTTGCGATTGCAAGAAGGAGCCGTGATGTTGGAGGATCTGCAGGCAGAAGAGGTAGTTTTGATGCCATGCCATAGTGCATGTAGTCAGCCAATCCTCGAAACCCTAAACCCTAAACCCTAAACCAGCAGGACCGCTTGGCGTGCTTGATGGTCACCTACCCATCCACCCGGGCATTCTTCGAAGACAACATCCAGGACCGGACAGGTGCTTAAAGATTCCGACGCTACTGTAGGGGCCTCAATAATTACCTACATTGTTTTGGGGGCTCCTTATTATAGTTCTACTACAAAGGACCCCCAAAATCCTATTCTGAGTCTTAAGGCCCCCCCCCCATATTAGCAAGGCATTCCTACTGTTTCTGGATCTCAGTTCGGGGTTTAGGGTTTAGGGTTTAGGGTTTAGGGTTAGGGTTTAGGGTTTAGGGTTTAGGGTGGAACTCACATGATGGACGTGGCAAGCCAAGCCGACTGCAGGAGATTTGCTCCACTGTCCACGAGAACGGTGGCCAGGTCTACATGGATGGCGCAAACATGCCCTTTGGGCTGAGTGGTTTAGGGTTTAGGGGTTTAGGGTTTAGGGTCTAGACCCTGTAGCCTCAACCCTTAAACCGTGGGGGTATGGGGTTTGGAAAAATATGTTTGAAGCGCACCCTCGATGCTGAAGAAGAATTATGTGTGGCTGCTCCTTCTGATCAGGGTTTAACTAGGTAACTAAAGCGTATACTTCCTTCTAACCCCGATTCATGTACCTTACAGCCTTACTTACGGCGTTTGAATTCTTGACCCTAAGCCATTAACTTCCGAACCGTAAATCTTCAGCCCTAACCCCCTGCTGTGGGATGTGTGGAGTCTTCGTCCAATGGTTCTTCTGAACCCTAAACCCTACACCGCAAGTGCCGGCAAGCCTCCCGCAAAGCGAGTTCCCGAGCTAGGAGTCGTCGGTGTGCAACAAAAAAACAAGCCTTAACCCCTTGAATCCCTAAACCCTAATACTTAGCATCCAAATTGCCCAAAAGCCTTATACAATAGGGTCTTTGGGCCCAACAGCCTTAAAATATGAGTCCTGGTTAGGGTAAACCCTAAACCCTTAACCCTAAACCCTAAACCCTTAAACCCTGAATCCGAAGCCTTCCTTGGCACTCTGGGGTTCTCCAAGCAAGGAATGCCCAGCTGGGCCTGACCTCCCCGGGCATGATCGGCGCCGACGTGTGCCCTGTGCAGATTAGCGAAGGTTGACCATAAAATGGTTTAGGGTTTAGGGTTTAGGGTTTAGGGGTTCAAAATCAAAATTCAAAAGCCCTAACAACACCGGAAACTCTCGTCAGAACCCCACGAAGGCCTCCTAAACCCATGAGACACTGCTTGAAAACCCTGTTGACACCCTTCAAATAGCTCTCAGCATCCTCTAAATACTTTTGGAACCCTATTCCCTGATCAGATACGGGTCTGAACAGTTGGTCAGAGTTTTCCCTCATGGTCCCGGTGTGTCCAGGGGGCCCCTCTCTTGGGCCCTTTTCCCTCGACCCCCAGACCCCAAAGCCTTGAACTTTCAAGCCCGAAGCCCCTGATGCATAAACCTCCCTCATTTTAAAGCCTTCACAGGAGTAACCCTAAACCCTACACCACAACACAAACCCTTCAAGCCCTAAGCCCTAAACCCTAGACCTAAAACTAATAAGCCGTAAACCCTAAACCCTAGACCTAAAACCCTATCAGCCCTAAACCCTATACCCTAGGCCTAAACCCTATAAGCCCTAAACTCCAAACCTAAAAACCTATAAGCCCTAAACCCAGAACCCTATAAACCCTAGGCCTAAAACCCTATTAGCCCTAAAACCCTATAAGCCCTAAGCCCTAAACCTAAAACCCTATAAGCCCTAAACCCCAAACCTAAAATCCTATAAGCCCTAAACCCCAAACCTAAAACCCTCTTAGCCCCAAAAACCCTATAAGCCCTAAACCCTAAACCCTATAAATTATAAACCCTAGACCTAAAACCCTCTTAGCCCTAACACCCTATAAGCCCTAGACCCTAAAACCCGAGGTGCCACCTGAACCTGCACAAGACCTTCAGCATCCCCCACGGCGGCCCTAAACCCTAAACCCTAAACCCTAAACCCTTAAAAAAAGTCTGAGGTGCCATCTGAACCTGCACAAGACCTTCAGCATCCCCCACGGCGGTGGCGGCCCCGGCCTCGGCCCCATCTGTGCGGCTCGGCGAAGATGCCCGGATATCCGGGCATTTAGGGTTTAGGGTTTAGGGTTTAGGATTTCGGGTTTAGGGTTTAGGGTTTAGGGTTTAGGCTTTGGGGTCCAGGGTGTGGGGTTTTGGGTTTAGGGGTTGAGGGCTTAGGGCTTATAACTTCGGGTTTAGAGTTTAGGCTTTGAGGTCGAATATAACGGCCTAGATAAAATGAATATACTATTCTTGGGGGTGCCTTATTATAAGTATAGAGTATAAACGGCCTGATAATCCTATTCTAATTATTAAGGCCCCGACATTAGGCTTTGGGGTCTGGGCTTTGGGGGTTTAGGTTGTTGGGTTTAGGGTGTGGGGTTTAGGTTTTTGGGTTTAGGGTGTGGGGTCTAGGGTGTGGGGTCTATGTTGTGGGGTTTAGGCTTTGGGGTTTAGGGTGTGGGGTTTTGGGTTTAGGGGTTGAGGGCATTGGGCTTAGGGTTTAGAGTTTAGGCTTGGGGGTCTAGGGTGTGGGGTTTCGGTTTGTTTAGGGTTCTGTCGGGTTTGAAGGTGTTATTTTGGGGTTGCATACGGGGCCTATAATGGTTCCATGAAGGGTTGAGCCTACGAAGTAGATAAGGGGTTTGCATAATTACAAATCATCCCTAAGGACTTCTTATTATAGGTATGGTAACCCCCCCTAGAACTCGGTTCTAATCATTAAAGCACTTTCAGTATATTCAGCATTCTGGGGCTTCTGCTGCATCCGACGTGAAGAGCCTACATGCTCTAACCGTTCCCATATGCCGACAGCCACTGAACGAAGCCACGTAGGAGTCTCTGTGCACTTGAAGATTCGTGGTTGGGTTTTGCCAAGAGAACAAGTAGTTCAAACTTTCAGCCAAGGGATTCAGGGACTACAGTGAAAACCTTAACCCTAAACCCTAAACTCCCTACACTCCAAACCCTAAACTCCCTACACCCTAAACCCTACAAGCCCTAAACCCTAAGCCCTAAACGGGCCTAAACCCTAAAACCCTAAACCTTGGCCTTTAAACCCTAAACCCTAAACCCTAAACCCTAAACCCTAAACCCTCTCTCTCCCCTCGAAGCGCTCCTGCGAGGCGAAGAAGCACCTGGCCCCGCACCTTCCGGGACACTGCGTGGTGAACCCGCCCACGGCTGGCTCGGACCCTGCCCCACGGCGAAAGGGTTTAGGGTTTTAGGGTTTAGGGTTCTAGGGTTTAGGGTTTAGGGTTTAGGGTTTAGGGGTTTGGGGTTTAGGGTTTCGGGCTTTAGGGTTTTAGGGTTTACACGACCATGCTGCTTAGACAAAAGACTCTTGGGTCAGGAGACTTGGTCGCCTGATCGCGAGAGCCCACAGAAAACTCGACGGACAAGGATTTAAATCCCCTGAAGCTCTTAAAGAACCCTCGTTAGAATCTGCCAACATAGTGCTTCGATTGCATCGTTTCCGGGCAGATGAGGAGAGGTTCCCTAAACCCTTAGAAGGGGTTGAGTATGGGGTTTAGAATTTTTGCTTTCAAGGTTTGGCTTTTTGGTTTAGTCTTCGCCTTAACATATTGAAGCCGTAAAGCCCGGAAGACTTGAGATCCCTGAAGCACTAAACCCTGCAACGCTTCAGCACTCCCACATTTCGTGGGTTTTTGAGCGGTTAGATGCAAGTACTGTAGTGCTTCCTTATAGTCCCCACATGTCATGTATCGGGAGCCCTAAACCCCTAAACCCTAACCCTAGGCCCCCATGGTAGTTCCTTTTTGGGATTTCCTCATAGGATGCTAAATATGAAACCCAAAAAGGAACTACTATGGGGGCCTATGGGTAAAGCCTAAAGCCTTAGCCCCTAAACCCCC